GAGCAGAATGTTCAGTTTTTTCTTTTCAAAACTCTCTGAAGGCTGTTTTTACCTATAGGCACCTGCAACTTACCACAGGTGAGATAAATTATACAATAAATGAGAATCATTGCCCCCAATCAAATTAATTTGAATTTGAAACAAGGCAACAGTAAACATGTCATATGTCGATTTCATCGTAGGGGACAATAATTTAGTCTAGGCCGTTTTCTGAATTTGAAGTGAAAAATCTAAATTTCAGTTTAGATTTTTTTGTGTGTGTCCTGTGCAGTTTTAAATCAAACAAATATACCTGTAAATACCAAAAGGTTTTCAATTTCAACTTATTTTAGAAGAAATAGTAAATCATGCAAGGGTGCCAATATATTTGAACACATCTATATTTATGATTTTTATATCATTCCTGTGGTTCTCACATATGTGAAAACATATCAATAAAACATATGGTTATTGTATTATGCCTGCGTATGATTGTGGCCTACTTCATATACCACTTATATGTTACCTACAGTTGCGGCCAAATATATTGGCACCCTTTCACCTTTCTTAAATAATTCCCTATTTCTTCTAAAATAAGTTGAAATTGAAAAAAAACTTTTGGTCTCCACACCTTGTTACTGGATCATTTCACTCCAAAACACCTTGATAATCTGATGATTTCATGATGTCTTGCACACATTCAAGGCTCTCAGTACAGAGACAGCAAAGCAACCCCACAGCATTATTGAACCCTCCCTATAAGTGATTGTAGGGAAGGTGCTCTTTTCTTTGAATGCTTCATTTGGTTGTTGGTGAACATAGGAAGACTCCACTGCTGAAGGAGGCACAAGAAAGCCTGAATGAACTTCTCAAAAACCCACTTAAACAAGCCTAAATCCTGGGGAAAATGTTCTGTGGACCAGTTCAACAAAATTAGAGCTCTTTGGCGATACTTTACTGAAGAGAAAATGAAGTGTTCAATGAAAAAAACACCCACTCTACAATCAAAGATGGGGGAGGTTTGATAATGCTGTGGGGTTGCTTTGCTGCCTCTGGTAAAGGGGGCATTGAATGTGCACAAGGCATCATGAAATCAACGTATTATCAGGTGTTTTAAATAATAAATAAAAATAGTAGTCCAATTTGTAGTCCAATGTTCAAGCCAGTGTCTCCATTAAAGGTTGTGGGTCTTCCAGCTGGAGAACGACCCCAAACACACATCAAAAAGCACCCAGCAATGGTTAAGAAGCGATGCTGGACTGTTCTGGAGTGGACAGCGAAGAGTCCAGATCTGAATCACATCCATAACCTATGGCGAGATCTAAACAGCAGTTAGTGGAGGGCACCAATGTTCCCTCTAATGTTTTTCGGCACTGAGCAAAATTCAGGTCTGCTGAGCGCAAACTTAAACTTTGTGAAAAAACTTCCAGCGCGCATTTACTGTGAACACTGAGGCTATACCCGCTTTAAGTTACAGTTTTAACAGTGGCCAGGTAGGCTACTGTGGCTATTTGATAATAATGTAGGCATACCAGAGTGGCCTACCATAAAAAAAACAATGGAGAAAATGCATCCCATAACATTTTAACATGGAAATAGCTGTTCTATCATTCAGCCTACAGTAGCAGCCAATGTGTGGTGTTCAATGTAGGCCTACATTCCATGACACGTTTGAAAAAAACATGCAGGGCTTGACATTAACCTGTTTATCCACTTGTCCATCAGACAAGGAGGTGACTGAAAATGCTGTTGTGTTGTTTGATGCAAGAAACCACTTTACAAAATAAAATGCATTATTATTCTCATACCATTTTTACAGAGAATCAGACAAATTATGCTACCCTCTGCCTATTGGCTACTTAGCTTATTCAAGCCTGTCTCAAAATACAACACTGCCCCTTTAAGGCAAAAAAAAGCTCTTTACCTGACTCACTTTTCAAAGATGTCTATAAAAATGTACACATTTTGTGCTCTTGTAAGAAGCAATCACTCCCCTATTGCTGACTACCAATGATCTATAACTGGGCTAATAACTCACTAACTAGCAAAGGATATGAACAACATGTGCACACGTGGCTACATGCAGCTCTCGCTTTGATCTCAAAAGAAGCGCATCTACTCACGACCGCTAATGCTGTGAACACAGTCCAGTTCAAAGTACTGACCAAGGCCCTTCTCCCTCGATTGCTCAGTTTGGCCCGGCAGCCAGCTCTAGGAAGAGTCTTGGTGGTTACAAACTTCTTCCATTTAAGATGGAGGCCACTGTGTTCTTGGGGACCTTCAATGCTGCAGACATTTTTTAATACCCTTCTCCAGATCTGTGTCTCGACACAATCCTGTATCGGAGCTCCACAGACAATTCCTTGAACCTCATGGCTTGGTTTTTGCTCTGACATGCACTGTCAACTGTGGGACCTTATATAGACAGGTGTGTGCCTTTCCAAATCATGTCCAATCAATTGAATTTACCACAGGTGGACTCCAATCAAGTTGTAGAAACATCTCAAGGATGATCAATGGAAACAGGATGTACCTGTGCTCAATTTCGAGTCTCATAGCAAAGGGTCTGTAAATAAGGTATTTCTGTTTTTAGTTTTAAATAAATTTGCAAAATTTTACTAAACATATTGTTGCTTAGTCATTATGGGGTATTGTGTATAGATTGATGAGGAATTGTTTTTATTTAATCAATTTCAGAATAAGGCTGTAACGTAACAAAATGTGGAAAAAGTCAAGGGCTCTGAGTACTTTCCGAATGCACTGTATTGCGTTGATTCGATCACAATTGCCACAGTAAAGGGAAACGTTGACAGTGTTAACTGGGAAAACTCTAGAGCAGTGGTCACCAACCTTTTCTGAGTGAAGATCACTTTCTGAGTCAAAATGCAAGCCGAGATCTACCGGTCAGATTTTTTATTTTAATGATTTAAAAAAACGTAAGCCTATGCAACATTAACCAATTAAAAACAGTACTGTCGAAATGTTGTATTTGTATTTATCATATATCCCCATTAGCTGCTGCCAAGGCAGCAACTACTCTTCCTGGGGTCCAGCAAAATTAAGGTAGTTATACATTTTTAAAAACCTGACAATATATTCATAACAGATTTCACAGCACACTAACTCAGGCCCCTACTCCACCACCACATATCTACCACACAAAATCCATGTGTACGTGTGTGTATAGAGCGTATGTTATCATGTGTGTGCATGCATGTCTGTGCCTATGTTTGTAATGCTTCACATTCCCCGGTGTTCCATAAGGCGTATTTTTATCTTTTAAAAAAAAAATCTGATTCTACTGCTTGCATCAGTTACCTGATGTGGAATAGAGTTCCATGTAGTCATGGCTCTTTGTAGTACTATGCGCCTCCCATAGTCTGTTCTGGACTTGGGGACTGTGAAGAGACCTCTGGTGGCATGTCTTGTGGGGTATGCATGGGTGTCTGAGCTGTGTGCCAGTCGTTCAAACAGACAGCTCGGTGCTTTCAACATGTCAACACCTCTCACAGAAATGAGGTTTGTGCAGTAAGCTATAGGCCCAATACATTATCACTGCATATTGGCTTTGCTTGAATTGCCCTGCCAAACAGCAGCTTTTTGCTGTATTCGTTGACAGTCTCTCTCTAGTCATGGTTTTAAATGTTTTTAAATCTCACAGTATCCATTTTGTTGTAGCTTTATTTTATGCCTGCTACTTTACTGCTGACACGGTAATCTGAGCCATCTGATTGGCCAGCGGTAGGCCTATTGTGCACTTGATTTGCTCTCCGGGCCCCCCGGGAAGGCAGAGTTTGTACCTTCAGACACATGAAATGGTACAAAATGGCAACAGTTCGCCTACCCGGCGCGCAGGGCAGCTGAATTGTGTGCACCTACCGCCAACAGCCCGAGACGAATAAAAATGTATAGGAACACAAGGCTTTATCGTTGGTTTTTTTACAGACATTTTTGGCGATTGACTAGGAAAGCCTTGGAGATCGACCAGTCGATAGTGATCGACCGGTTGGTGACCACTGCTCTAGAAAGTTGAGTGAAATTCAATCTCCCGCTTCTCTCCATGGGCTGATATTTCTTCTCTGCAGCAGTCCCAGGGAGCTGTGCAGCAGTCTCGGGCTACTGAGCGCCCGCACACGCACGCAGCTTAGAGGGAACATTGGAGGGCACCCCTAAAATATTTAAGAATTAGAGCAGTTTGGCCTCCCGAGTCGCGCAGCGGTCTAAGGCAGTGTTGCGGCGTCACTACAGCCTGGGGTTCGATCCCAGGCTGTGTCACAACCGGCTGTGACCGGGAGTCCCATATGGCGGCGCACAATTGGCCCAGCGTCGTCCGGGTTAGGGGAGGGTTTGGCCTGGGGGGCTTTACTTGGATCATCGCGCTCTTGCGACTCCTTGTGGTGGGCCAGGCGCCTGCAGGCTGACTTTGGACGTCAGTAGAACGGTGTTTCCTCCGACACATTGGTGCAGCTGGCTTCCGGGTTAAGCGAGCAGGTGTTAAGAAGCGCGGCTTGGTGGGTCATGTTTCGGAGGACGCATGACTACCTTCACCTCTCCCGAGCCCGTTGGGGAGTTGCAGCGATGAGACAAGATCGTAATGACAAGATTGGGGAAAAAAAGTGCTGAAAAGTGGGCCAAATTGTCAGTAGAATGGTGCAACATGCTCATTGATGGCTACAAGAAGCATTTGTCTGCAGTTATCTTGGCCAAAGGCTGTGCAACCAAGTACTAGTTCCGGGGTGCCAATAATTTTGTCCATGCCATTTGTCTTTATTTTCTAAATTAAAATTGTAAACTTAAGTTTACAAAAATAAAATTGGTTCTTCTATAATGAAAATCCAATAACAAGGTGTGGTGACCCAATTTTCAACTTATTTTAGAAGAAATATGGAATTGATGTTATCCGGATATGATTCATATAGATCCTTTTCCAAATGGGTGGATAAGGTAGAGAGACAAACATTTGGTTGTTTTACCCAGTCAGTTTATACCAGGTCTTTAGGCTGTATGAGTGTATCTTGTACTTACTTGGCCAGCATCTTCTCAATGAACTTCTTGATCCAGGGAGCGCTGATGTCCAAACAAATCTCCTTACTGCTCCCCTTCAGAGTGGCTCTGCAAGACAGGCACACAGCACAGTCAGAAACAGAACTAACATTACCACAACCTGGAACTAACATTATCACAACCTAGAGCTAAATCAGCTTTTGTAAATGAAATAGGAGGTAGTAAGCAAGGACTCACATAGAATAATTTAAGATAAATATCTGAATGTGAACATCGTATAATAACCATATTTTAGAGTCAGTGTTAGTGTTATAACTCAACTAACTAATAATCATTTAAGATAGTCAACATTACATGTTAGCCATACTTTAGTCAGCACTAACTTAATTAAATAAGATTAATATAAAATGGCCATAGCCGACATCAACATGATTTAAAAGCCATATCAACATCAACTTATATACCATTGGAGTCAACATTAGGAACACCTTCCTAATATTGAGTTGTGCATTCCACAGGTATGCTGGCCCATGTTGACTCCAATGCTTCCCACAGTTGTGTCAAGTTGGCTGAATGTCCTTTGGGTGGTGGACCATTGTTGATACACACGGGAAACTGTTGAGCGTGAAAAACCCAGCAGCGTTGCAGTTCTTGACACAAACCGGTGCACCTGGCACCTACTACCATACCCCGTATAAAAGGCACTTCAATCTTTTGTCTTGCCCATTCACCCTCTGAATGGAACACATACACAATCCATGTCTCAATTGTATCAAGGCTTCAAAATCCTTATTTAACCCATGGCCTACAATGGTCGCACCCCTGTGGAAATCTAATTAACATAATAAAATATCCCCATCAAAATCCATCTGTTTAGACTAGAGATATGTGTTTTTTTTGCATGGGCTGCGTCTCAATCCACCGCATCCGCCGATCACGCCCTTCCCTATCTGTGGTGAAAGGTGGCAGAGTTAGAGAGGTGTTTGTCAGAACATGAGACATCGCGATAATCGGTCTTCTCACAAAAACGTCTAACGGTTTGGCCTACAAACTATTATGACCCCTCTATTGAAAGCTGAGACTCTCACGAATATGATGGTTTTACTCTAGGACGCCCACAAGCCTCAAGTTTTGCTCTAGGACGCCCACAAGTCTGAAGTCGGTACAGCCTCTTCTGCCAACTTCTGTCTGTAGCGTCCGTACGGTTTGGACTACACACTAATATGAGCCCTCTGTGGAAAGGTGAGACTCTCATGAATAAGCGGGTTTTCTCCACAAGCCTCACAAGACTCATCTGAAGGTCCCTGTTACCAGTTTAAATGGAAGTATATATGGAGATAATTTATTGCCTAAAATAAGGGGATGAATAAATGTGAAAAAAGAGTTTCCTGATCTTTCTTATATCTTTTAGATATAGGACAGACACTTCAGAACAAACTTCCTTTTGATTTTCTTTTGGACTATATGTTGTTCCATGTAGTGAATCTGTTACTCAATGTGTTTCTGTTGGCTAATAACAGTAATGCCAAATTCAATGTTTCATCCAATATTTTGTTAAAATATTTTTTTAAGGGGTCTTAAAAGGGTTAACCTGTCTCCTCCCCTTTATCTACACTGATTGAAGTGGATTTAACAAGTGACATCAATAAGGGATCATAGCTTTCACCTGGATTCAACTGGCCAGTCTATGTCATGGAAAGAACAAGTGTTTTTAATGTTTTGTATGCTCAGTGTATAATAGTCATATTTTAGGGTCAGCGTGTTAGCTAGTGAGATGGGTCGGTAGTCTGAACTCACATGATCTCAGTGTCTTTGCAGTGCGAGCTGGGAGGGAATATCCCCACCTTCTCGATGAGTTTACCAATCCGACGTCCCTCCGTCTGGATACAGCGACAACGTGAGTCTGACCCCAAGTTGCCTAGGCTCATCCCTGTAAAAGGTCAGAGGTCAGTTTTAGACTACATTATATTGGGTATGGGGGGTGGAAGTCACAAAAATGTTAATGAAAGAAGCAAGCTTTTATTTGTTAAAGACTCCAGCCACCCAAGCCATAGACTGTTCTCTCTGCTTTCGCACGGCAAGCGGTACCAGAGCAACAAGTCTGACAACAAAATGGCTTCACAGACTATCTGCATTTACCCTTCTATTACATGTATTTTTATTTTTGCACTGACCGTATGCACACACTCAGTTACTGACACTCCAACACACACTCACACACACACTTCATTTGCTCACACACACATAACACGTACACAGATTCATACTGACTCTACACACATGCACACACACTCACATACAGTACAATCATTATATACGCTGCTGCTACTCTGTTTATCATATATCCTGATGCCTAGTCACCTTACCCCTATACATACTGTATCTAACCCTCCCACTCCAGTGTCCATGCACATTCTAAATATGTTATTGGCACTGACTCTGGAACTGACCTTGTATATAGCTTACTTACTTTCTTGTGTTCTTCTTATTTCTGTTTCTCTTGTGTTTTTGTTCTACTTGACTTTGTTATAGTACTACAGATACTGATGGCTGCGTTGTTGAGAAAGAGCAAGAAAGGCATTTCCCTTTTCTTGTGCACGTGACATAAAAAATTTGAAACTTGAAAAGCCTTCAAATCAAACTACACACTGTAGTCCAGTCCCTTTAATGAACAAATTAATCTTTCAAATAAAACCATTAACAGTTAGATCATATGACCATGATTCAACTCATGAAAAGCAGTCGAATGAAATGCACACCTCTCATGTAATGTAATTGGAGTGTAAGTCAAATCAAAGGTAATACTGTCTGTTTATTCAGCTCTTTAAGCTTTGATTCAAGCGATGTCTGTTTCATTCGAATGGTGGGACTTTCATTTTAAAGCTGTCGCTCCCCTATAACATGTCAATCATATTGCTCCGCCAATGATGTCACAGTCTAGGGGTGCATTCTTTTTAGTTTAGCTTGCCCGGTGCCCTGGGCTGCTAAATATACTGAATTCAATTATCAGAAGTTTTACACTTTTTTGTCTTTGCCACATGAGTTTTGTTGTCGTTTTGTTTTCAAATAGCCAAATAGCCAGTATCGCCATAGGTTCTGAGTGGTGCATTCAGAGTTCCCCACCGGTCCCCTACATTTGAAATCGAGTGCTAACTCTGCCCACCTGGCAAGGACTGGGCATCCCAGCTTGCAAAACGACTGCGCCGATGCATGGACTGGGCAATTGGATTGACAGGTTAGGAAGCGACAGCTTTCAAAGGATCGTCCCACCATTCAAATGAAACAGACAAGGCTTGAATCAAATCCTAAAGAGCTGAATAAACAGTCAGAGTATTACCTTTGATTTGAATTACACTTCAATTACATTACATGCATTTCATTCGACTGTTAGGCTTTTCATTATTTAAATCGTGATTATATGATATCTGATGCATGTTTGAAAGGTGAGCGTTACTCATTCAAGAGACTGGAATACACTTAGGAATTTGATCTAATGCTTGTTTGTTTCATTCTTTGCTTGTTACTGTAATTCAAAAACAATTGTGAGTTACAACACTCATAATTGGGAGCCATGATCGGCTTGATAGAAATTAGAGTTACATTTAAATAGGCAGATGTAGTTGTTTCTCATATACTCACATACTGTACTGTCAGAAATACAAATTATCTCTAAAATGTATTTATTTACTTATTATTGCTATTGTCTACCCTTGACTCTTACACTGAGGATGATGCATTTAAGTCCCGATGCCCCTTAAATGCAGAGATGTATTTCCCATGTTGCATCCTGGGAGAAACCATACGCGTGCCCCGCTATTGCACTGGAGAACTTTGAGTGTTTTTACATTCGACATAAGAGAAACCGCACGCTTGCATTTGCATGTCTGGATTGTGCTTTCGGTATTTACCCATGTCTCTGGACTGTACGCACTGGACTGTATACAATATGGTTCTAGTACTGTCTGTGAATCCAAATGTTGTAAAAATCCGATCTAGACTTGCCATAATTTTGCTGCTGATACTGTCAGGAAATGTGCAATCTAACCCAGGTCCTTAAATTTCAACCCAATTTGAATTAAAAAGTCAGAATGGTCTGAAGTTCTGCACATACATGTAAGAAGTCTTCTTCCGAAACTTGATTTTGTGAATATTAGGATAAAAAATGTAGACCTACTGTATATGTATGTATGCTTTCTGAAACCTGACTCAAAAAAATCTATCACTGATAAAGACATTGGCATTGATGGTTACAATGTTTGTCAGTCAGATCGCAAATCTAAGGGTGGTGGTGTTGCTATATACATAAAAGGCATATTTTCAGCGACCATTCTGACTTCTGTTACAAACCCAAGCAATTTGAATATCTGGCTTTGAATATAAATCTCTGCGCATCCTTAAATCTTGTTTTATCCTGTTGTTGTAGACGGGGATCTGCTATTGCTGGCTCTCTGGATTGTATTTTTGAATTATTATCACAGAATGTCATATCTGAATTTGTGCTTATGGGTGACCTGAACCTAGACTGGTTGACATCCAACTCTGATCAACTCAAGAATCTATGTAATACCTATGATCTTACTCAGATTGTTAACAATGTAACCAGGTTGAATGCAAAGTGTCCTCTAAAACGTTTTTCACGCTCAAGTTTCCCATGTGTATAAAGATTGGTCCACCACCCAAAAGATATCCAGCAAACTTGACACAACTGTAAGAAGCATTGGAGTCAACATGGGCCAGCATCCCTGTGGAACACTTTCGACACCTTGTAGAGTCCATGCCCTAACGAATTGAGGCTGTTCTGAGAGCAAAAGGGGGTGCAACTCAATATTAGGAAGGTGTTCCTAATGTTTTGTACACTCATGTCAGTACACATTAATTAGAGTGCCATTCACGGATAGGTAATTAGAGCCTATTGAGACTCCAACCTTTGTAATCTTGGACACCCAGCTTATCTTACCAAGAGATTACAACCTTGTGACAGTTATTACTAAATCTGATGCAGCTGAGACGAAACAAAACACTAAATTGGCGAATTTAGTGGAAACTTACCCATTAGTAATAAGCATGTTAACAAGCATTTGTTGTAACACCTCTGTAATTAGACTGCAATTACCACCAGTTACATGTTGTTATTACAGTGTAACTATGAGTTATTACAATGAACTACAATACTTGTTACAGTGTAATTACACATTTAATTACACTGTAATATAATAAGGACCCCTTAAAATGAAGTGTTACCATTTGTTCTTAATTGACTAGCCTAGTTAACGGTTAAATAAACAAAAATGTATAATAAGTACATTATATATTGATAACTTGACTTATTGTCCATAGGGTGTCAATGCATTGAGTCAGAGTGATAACAGAGTAGGTCATAATATACTCACCCTCAGTGATGGTCAGGAGGGCCAGGAGTACAACGACAGAGCTGGCTGACATTCTGATGCTCATCTTCATCTTAGCGACAAACTGGAGTTCCAGTAACTAGACAATAAGGTAGTATGATTCTAAGACAAGCTGGAGTTACGGTAACTATGGTCCTGCTGGAAGCCTAAGCTCGAATAACAAAATAAACCATGTTAATAGTTTATTAGATATTAATCTGTTTATCGTTGTGAGATTGCTGGTCCTGAGTTAAGTACTTAATTGTTGTATTAAAACCACGTTTAGATAAAGTTTCCTATTGCTGATCCCCTGTCATGCAATTTGATCCACTGTGTGCATGTATTCTATATGTCAACTTGCTGGTTTTAAATGTTTTATGATTTAGTATGATTTAGTCTCATTATCTGTCTCTCTCTCTCTCTCTCTGTGTGGAGAGGCACCAGTCCTTTATATACAGACAGTGAGTCACTAGTCAGATCAGGGTTGGTTTTGACATAGTGGGAATCACCATTGTGGGAATCAACTCTTATTTAAACCAGTTGTCCGATTATGTAAACAAAGTAATACCACAGAAATGTCTTGGCCTTTAGAGTCTATGGCCTTTAGAGATTTAATCAGACTGGCTGAACGCCAAGAAAACCAAACCACGCAATCTGGGAAAGTTGTAGATGCCCTGGGGGGGGGTGTTTATTTTGTTTATTTTGTTGTTCGAGCTTAGGCTTCCAGCAGGACCATAGTTACCGTAACTCCAGCTTGTCTTAGAATCATACTGGTTCAGGGATCACTTTTACAGCCCACTGAACTGCATTTCTCTTGCAAAATGCACTAACACTATTAACATTTAAAATACTTTTTTTTTAAATAACTATCAAACCAGTATAATTTGTCATCTAATGAGATTTTTTTTGCAAAATGAACTAACACCGTCTCAACTTAAAATACATGTTACAAAAGCCGCAAACTCAATAAATAAGTATCCTTAGTCATAAAATGAGATCATCTCACCATTGATTACATAATGTCTCAACAAATATTAACTATAACCATCAAAATAACCAGCAAATACTACGAGATGGTAATCAAACATTTGGTAACACTTTATTTGATAAAAAGTGAGCTGTATTCTTGCTCTCTTAATTGGGATGAAATAATGAAATAGGAAGAATTTCACGAAAGGTGTAAAAAACTAAATGAGATACTGTTTAGAATTGCAAAGTGTTCCATCCTGTATATTGTAATGCTGAAATTGTTAACAATACAGTAGGCTAAACATAAATCAAATCCATCAAAAGTACTCAGAACCAAGCAAGTAGTTCAGGTACTACAAACCAAATATGTTACTGTGAGGTAGTTAGGCCTACTGTATATGCTGTAAAGCTAAACTTGCCTGACAAAGCCCTCCTACGTAAAATATGATTGGGCCTCTGCAAAAGCAACATGGAATACAGTCATAGTGAAAGTAATTCCAGTTACTGTAAAACAGAGTGACTGAAATAGCAGTTCAATTCCATTCTCTGGGGGACCATGAAAGAGACCAACT